CAGGACCTGAGGCCCGGCACCCACGCGCGCTCACACCCACGCCCCGCTCCCCTGGAAAGTAACGGGCACAGCCTCACACCAGTGAAGCCCATGACAGACTTGGACTCTCACAACCCCGATCAGACACAAGAGTATCAAAATGTCTCTTTATTTGAAAACCAAACTGTTCCTAACACACCCAGCCGCCTCCGCAGCTCTTCCGCAGCCAACTCTGCAAGCATCCCCTGGGCCCATCCGGGCCTAATTCCCCTACACCTGCCTGAGGGCGCCCCCCCACCAGCGCACACACACACACACACACACACACACACCCAGGCCTGATTCCCTACACCTGCCTGAGGGCGCCCCCCCACCAGCACACACACACACACACACAGGTTCTAGGCAGGGCTCAGGCCCACCCAGACGCTGCCCAGGTGCCCATCACAGAGCCTGGGCGGCAGGCAGGCTGTGATGAATTCCCACGTCTGGGGCAAGAGAAGGCATGCTCTGACTCAGGATGAGGGATGTGAATGTGGCAGCCCCACTACCTGGAAGTCTTCTCAGGTCTTGGGGCCAGTGTCTTTGATCTCCTGGAGGAAGAGGGCAGAAGTAAAGCCCCTGGACATTATTGCATTCCCCTTGCTGCCTGTGCCCCCATCCAGAGTGCCCAGCTGCCACACTCCCCTGGGCTGGTCTCCCCAGTCTTCTCTTTCTGCCTTATCCTGCCCTCCTTTCTTCCCCCCACCCGTTTCCCGTTATTTTTAGCTTCAGATTTTTAGTGCAAGATCTTCCTCCCCTGCCTCCTCTTCTAGGCCCTGCTTCCATCCTCAACCACCTCCTCCACCCTCCACCCCCACCTCCCACACCACACCCCAGACCTGTCCTTGCCAGCTGATCTTCACCGCGTGTCGCCCTATGCCAGCATCTCTGCCTGCCACCCCAATTCTCTTCCTTAGTTTTCCTCTCCTAATGTATTCTCCTAAGCCTTTTCTCAGCTCCTCCCAGGCCCTTCTGGTCCTTTCTCCTCACCCTGAGACACCCCCTGACTCCTAAGCCCAGTGTCTCCAAGGGTTCTCCTCGCCGTATCCCTTCCTCAGCCACCTCCTCCTAGAGCAAATTCTCTTGCCCCATCTGACAGACCCTTGGCCTCCTCTTCCTGCTTCTCTGTCAGCTTCCTTACTGTCCCCAGAGGCTTGAAGAGCTACATGGATGGCAGCTCCAGTTCGGAGTCGTGCGCAGCCTCAGCCTCCTGCTCCTGGGTCTCCTTCAACCTCTGACGGATCTCATCAGCCTCGGCCCGCTCCTCGTCCTCGTAGAAATCTTTATCCAGGCGCTCGAGGTGTGCTATCTGCACCAGGGCCTCCTGGCGGTAGTCATTCTCATCTGTGCACGGGTTGTCCAACAGCACCAAGGCCCGCAGCTTGGGCAGGTCCCGAAGCTTGGCTAGCTCCCCAAGGTGGGTCACCATGTTGCCCCTGCCAGGTGTGGTCAGGAGGGATTCACACAGGGGAATAATGGGCTTTGGGGGCCCCACTTCCAGGAAGAAGGCCCCTGGGGGAATCTCCTGCTGGGTTCCAGTTTCACTGCCTCTGTGGATTGGCTTGCTCAGCAAAGCCATATAGCCTAGCCGAGCCAGGGCGGTCCAACCCTACTCCAGTCCTGCCTCTGGCCTTCCAGGGCACCGTGAGGGCCACAGTCTGTTCTGTAACATGCTGGTCGTATTTCTCCTTTTGGAGCAACAAAGCTAGGTCACCAACCCTGTCGTGTAGCTGGAGAGAAGGGGGGAATCCCCCTTGCAGGGTCAAACTTCTTATGTGTCAGTCGTACCTAATCAAAGGTTAGAAAGGACCACCCAGGCCAGTGCAGAAGGAACTGGGATCTGAGCTCATGGAGGTGGGTGCTAGGTTGGTGCTCCCCCCAGGAAGGAGCCTAGAGCTAGGGATGGTCTGGGGCCTCCTGGCCTGAAGAACAAGCTTCATCTAATGTGCTTCATTGTATAGTATGTTTCTTTTCAGGTTCTTGCCTCATGCCTTTGAAATCAGGTTTAATTGTTTCCGCCTTAGCCTCAATGGAGGTGACTAAACCTCACACAGAGTTTCTCACTGAGAGCACTCCATGCACTTTGTGCTGGACTGTCCTGTGCATTTCCCGGGGGTGGGGGGTGGGGGCTTAGCATCTTTGGCCCCAGAGGCATTTCCCAGTCATTGAGAAACTTCTCCCCACCCTTACTTCCAAACAACCCCAGTTAGTAGCCATTGAGGAGCGTCTATTATCTCTGTCTAGACCATTAATAGGAAAAGAGCACCACCACCCCAATCCTACCAGACTAACAAGGAAGAACTAATTAGCAAGAGATTTCTCCAGGAGCCATGGCAGGAATTGGGAGCTCCAAGGTGCAACCATCTCTCCCTACTTGGAGGTTGTCTTTCCATTACCAGCTTTGAGGATTTGGCCATGTTGACTAAGGAGGCAGTTACCTTACATCTTGCTTAAAGAAACAAGCATAAAATCCTCCATCAGACAAGGGTTGCTGAAAGAAAATATCCCCCCCTCCCCCATCAATCCCCACTGCCTTTCAATCTAGAGATTTTCTTTCAAATACTCTTCTCTCCTCAAATATGAGCACATCTTGCATTTTTTATATCAGTAAAGAAGCCATCCCTTACAGGTGGGGCTCAGGAGAAGAGAGGCAGGAAATGGGAAGGGAAATGGGGGTCCAGGAGATGGAGAAGGGCAGAGGAAATTTACATGGAATAGGACCAAGAAAAGAGAATTGGAGCCAGACTGTGAGTCCCTTGAGAACAGGGACCAACTCTGATTCCTCTAGATGTTCCCAAAATACAGCACCAAGCCTGGCACCTAGCACATTCTCAATAACTGTGGATTGAGTGAATAAAGATTCAGGGGCCCCAGGCTATATACAGTAAGGAAAGGAGGGGTAAAGATCAGGATGGAGGATGAAGGGAGCATCTAGGAACAGACTAGGATTGGGGGTTTGGGGCCAGGGAAGAACATGGGGTCAGAAGCTGCTCCTGGTCCAGGGTAGGGACAATGTAGGATGTGGAAGGGTGCATACCTCAGGTTGAGATACTGCAGCGATGTCATTTCCTTGGAGAAGCCACTCAGAGTTTCAATCTGGTTGTCTCGAAGATGCAAGGTAGTGAGATTGCTTAGGTGCTCCAAGCCCTCCACCTTCTTCAGCATGTTCTGGGCCTAGCCCCCAGGGTACAGCACATAGATCAGGAGAAGGTAGCAGGGACAGGGAAGAGAAGTCAGAGATGCAGGAAACATAAGAGTGGAGACAGAGGGGTGCAGGAGGGGAGTGGAGGTGGGGAGAGATGGGTGTAGACAGTAAAGAAGTCTAGGAGAAGCTACCAGTCCAGAGAAAGGTCAACAGGAACCCCCTGCTGCTCATCCTACCAAAGCCACCGCTGATTCAGGAGGAGATGATTCAACCCACCCGAGGCCCATAAGCCCCCACTGCTCCACTGAGGAGAAATGGCTTCAGCACCATCCTAGAATGAAGAAGCTCAAGAGCCAAAAAGACTTAACATTCAAGTGGCTTCCTTAGCCTGATATCTGTCCCTCACTTACAGCAAATTATGCTACTACCTGTATCAAAGCAAATTGTCTCTATTCCCATGTATTATGTATTATCAGTCCTGCGAGGTAGGAAGGGCTCAATAAATGATACTAAATGCTCATGATGATGATGAGGTTAGTAGCTGAGCCTACTAGAAGCCAGGCACCCTGGCCCCCCGAGCAGTGCCCTCTTCCCCGCACCAACCACCCTCTAACCCAGTGAGCTACCAGGAAGAGGTTCTTCAGCTTAGGAAGGTTGATTCCCAGGGTGCTGTCCAGCTGGTTCCCCCGAAGCTCCAGTGTGTGCAGGCTGATCAGCTTTTGGGGGTCCAGACCGGTCACCCTGCGGATGCGGTTCCCTGAGGAGCAGGAGGGTGGTAAGAGCTCAAAGGCTACTCCAAATGTTCAACAGTAGAGCCTGAATGTCGGGAGTCTCTGCATCATCCTCTCACTCTAATGCGAGGTGGCGATGAGGGACAGCTAGAGACTTGACACCTCTGGGGCCCTGGGAGTCCAAGGGCCAAATGGACATGTCCATCCAAGCCTTTGAGGAGTGAATGAAGAGTGCCCAGCACCCAACATGCTTAACTCCTTCTCCTCCCTCAAATCTTTGCTCAGATGTCAGCTTCTCACCGATGCTTGTCCTAACCAACCTGTTTGAAGTTACCACCTGTGCCTCTACCTAGTCCCTTTATCCTAATCTGTTTTCCACAGCACATATCTCCTCTTCACATCGTACATAAATTTACTTATTTATTATGTCTATTGGTAGCTGTCTGTCTCCCCTGAAGAGAATGTAAGCTACATGAGACTAGGGATTTTGTTTTGTTCAGTGCTACATCTCCATCCAGCACATAGAAATGTCATAATGAATCATAGGGACTGTCTGAATGAATGACTGAATGAATGAATGAATGAATGGAGATCGCTGTGTGGCACGGCCAAAGACCACACTGCCCATTCTGTTGGTCCAAGCTAAGAAGGAGAGAATCTTGTGTAACCTGACCTAAGGACCCACCTTTGAGATCCAGGCTGCCCAGACGAGGGTGAGAGATGCCCTCAGTGTCAGTGATCTGGTTATAGGCAAAACTGGCAATCTGCAGGTAGGGCAGTTCATTCAGGTGAGCGCTCCGCAGATTGTTGCCATCAGCCTTGAGCCAGAGCAGGTGGGTAAGGTAATTGAGTGGGGACAAGTCTGTCAGGTGGTTCTCAGAAACATCCACATAGCGCAGATGGATGTAGGACCGCAACAAGTAGATGTCTGTCAGGTCCCTAGGAGATGGCAGAGGCCAGAGGTAGGGTTAAGAATCCAGCAAGTAGGGGCACCCGGGTGGCTCAGTCAGTTAAGCAGCTGCCTTCGGCTCGGGTCGTGATCCCAGGGTCCTGGGATCGAGCCCCAAGTTGGGCTCCCGGCTCAACAGAGAGCCTGCTTCTCCCTCTCCCTCTCCCTCTGCCTGCCTGTCTGCCTACTTGTGCTCTATCTCTATCTCTCTGTCAAATAAATTAAAAAAAAAAAAAAAAAAAGAACCCAGCAAGGACTGGTAGAGATGCTAAAGCAGAGGGCAATGTGGAGATGGCTTGTAATGGAGAGAAGAATGGGTGACTGATGGGAGTGGTGAGGAAGGGGGAGAGAAGGTAGGTGGGTTCTTTACAGGGAGCAGGGACTTCCGTCTGTGAAGAGCTGAGAACTGACCCTCTGAAGGACAAGAGGGGGAGTCCAGTAGGAATCCCCCTGACAGACCCTCATAGGCTCCAGTTCCCCAGGCCAGCTCTGATGCAGGGAATCACAGGCCTCCTGAAAAGTAAATTCTATCCTTCCCTTCCACTGGCCAAGGTAAGAGAGATCCAAACTCCCCGCGGCAACAGCCAGGCATGAGGGTGAGAGAGGAGATTGGGCCCTACAACCTCAGCCCTCTTCTGGTCCCCCATAAGCGCACCTCTCTTTAACCTCCAGCTTGACATAAGCGTGAGCCAGTCCATTGCCCGTCTTACAGAGCAAAGAAAGTCCTTCCTTCATCATGTCCTCCGTGAGGGGGCTGGGCATCCACTGCAGGAATAAGTGGAGTCAGGCATCCCTTTCCTGCCCAACCCCCTCCCTTAGCCTTAGGACCCCACTGTTTCCACGCTCTCACTTCCTCTGAGTACTCTTCTCCCTCCTTCCTGTAGTTCTCCCACTCCTCTGTCTCCTTCTCATCATCTTCCTTTTCCAGATCATCCTGGTCTGGCTCGAAGTCTTCCAGCTCTTCATCTGACATCTTTCTTCCCTGCTGAAGGCTCTGGAGTGAGAGATCAGCTCAGTGACCCTCCCAAAAAAGAATGTGTCCTCAGCTCTGGCCAACCGTCAGCTCCCTCGCCTCCATCGACAGGGTACCCTTCCCATCACCCCTGACCTCTTCCCAACCGCGCTTCCCTCCTTAGCCCTGTGAGCATCTCATTTTGACTCCCAGCCTCCACTTCTGACGTCCCACCAAGGACCTCTCTCCCTTCAGGATGCCTTTCCAGGCCTTTCCTGCCCTTCACAGGGGCTCCAACGGTCTTCTAGCAGCTCCGCCTCCCTGCTTCCTGGCCTCCTCTCTCCGCAGGTCTTCCCACCTCCCCCCTTCAGCCACGTTCTCCTACCAACCTCCTACACCCCTCCCCTCCCCGCCATCCCTAACCCCTGCTCCACTCATTTCTTTTCCCTTTCCCACCCTGTCTAGTCCCATTTCCCCGTCCCCTCTGGGGCACCAGACTGACGCCGTCTCCAACCCACCCACCCAATCCTTCGCAACGGGGCGCAGACCCTGGTTCTGCTCTACTAAAAATGAGGTTCCGGAGAGGGTCTTGGCCCCGACAGGGAAAGAGTGTTTTGGAAGAGGGGAAAGGCGCAAGGAGGCGTTGTGTACTGCTGTTATGGCAACGAGGGGGCGGGACACTTGGCTGCTTCTGCGGCGCAACCGCTGAGGGGGGGCCGCGAGGAGACCGCGACAAACTGACGCGACAATCCGCCTCGGAGCAAGCGGACCCCTAGTGTCCCCGTAAGGAGGCCAACTTCCCAATCCTATTAAGTAAGTGCGTTAACTGGCCAAGGGCAAAAGGCAGTGGGTGGGGCTTGGAACTCCGCAGTGGGGAGGGGAGATGGGTGGGGCTAGGCGGAAGTCACTCAAAACGTTAAAGGGACCGCACATCCTTAAAGCCAAAGTATTGTGACTTCAAAAGAAACATGCTCTGAAGCTGAAGGAAGATGAGGAGCAAGAAATACCAAGGTATGCGGTCTAGTTTCTACCCCCACCCCAGCCTTGCACTTAGCTGACCTCTGGAAGGTGACTTGGTGGAGTGGAAGGAGCCCAGGCCAATGTATCTTAAGACCTGGGTTGGAGGCTTGGCAGATCTGCAGTGTACTAGCAACTTACCTGAGACTCTACTTTCTCGTCTGTAAAATAGGCTTAGCTACACCAACTGACGGGTTTCGAGTATGTGTGTAATCTATGCTAATACACTGTAAATTGCTAAACCCAGTTTGGAACATTTCCCTTTTCCTCATATCCTGGACTGGTTTGATGCAAACCTTTTAGGGGCTAGTAAGGGAGAAAATCCAACAAGTGCCCACTGAAAATACTCCTCATCCAACGTTGTTATGAGACAAGAAGACCTGATTGAGCCATACCCAGGCACTCCTGACTTGCGGAAGGAGATGGAAAAGAAGTTAAGATTCAACAAGTATTTCCGGAGAGTTTGTGCCAGATACTGTGTGAGATGCCTTCACAAGTGATTTAATGTTCACACCAGTCCTGTGGGGAGATAGATATTTGAAAGAAGAGGAAATTAAGGCTCAGGGCAGTTAAGCTTTATGACACAATTCCTGCCAGGAGAAAGAGAGATAGTACCAAATCTTATGGGATCTAGTATAAATAAAACAGGCAACAAGGTAAGATACCATGATTAATTACGAAATTGTGTGTTACAGACCTTATATAACATGCAAAGTGATCCGATGGAAGATGTGGCGGGCTGGAAATCAGGACCTGTTACCTCCTGCCCTGTCCAGCTTGGATAATACAGTTACTAGGCAAATCTGGTCGCTTGATGTCATGGAACTAGCAGGGGATGCAGAGGCAGAGACACCAGGTTCAAAACCCACTCTACCGTTTAATCGCAATGTGTTCCTCGGCAGGTTATATAATTTTCCTGAGGTTTAATTTTCACATTTGTGAAATGGGGATAAAGACATCCACTTCCATAAGAATTCTTAGAAGGTTAAAAGAGACAATGTGGGTAAATTGCCTCACACTTAGTTGACCTTCAGTCAGGATCTCCCTGCCCCTCCCCACCTCTTGCCTGTTTCCCTGGTTCTGGGATTGCCATGAGGAATAAGAAAGGAAATGTGAAGGTTAGAAATGGGAGGCCAATGAACCGGACTGTATTGTTGGAGTGGGAAAGGAAAATTCCAGGTGGTTTGATGTAACCAGAGGGAAAGGCTGTGATTTGCCTTGGCCCAGAAGAAAGAAGAAGACATATTAGGTGGGAAGAAAAGACATGACAGAAGGATTAGGGAAGTATCATTGAGCCTACTTTTATTAAGGGC